AAAAAAAAAAAGAGTAAAAAACCCGAAAGAATAGCATTAAAAACTTGAGTTGCCAAAACCTTAGAGTAAAACCTAGAGCTATCACTAGGTGGGAGCCTAATCAACAAGTAAGCTGTATATATCTACCAAGATTGTATGGTAAGGCCACATACATGACATTTCCTTTATTTCAACATAGTTTATCCCTTAAGTATTTCATATACTGTAGACAAGGAGTTTATCTCTTTAGTTGACTAAACGAGTGTGTATTGGGTTGTGGGAACACAACAAGATTGGGGCTAAGTGGTAGAGATAATAAAGGAAAAATGCCACCATCCTATGGGCATTGTCCTAAGGGCATAGCAGCACATATACAGCCTTTGGGAAAGAACCCTCCAACCCCCATTATCTCAGGCTGTCAACAACGAAAAATCTAGCCAAAAATTTTCTGGGAGACTAATTCCTGAGAACACTATATTATGTTCATTACAAATACAACAAATATCAGCCAGGCACAGGGGCTCACACCTGTAATCCCAGCACTTTGGGAGGCCAAAGTGGGTAGATCACGAGGTCAGGAGATCAAGACCATCCTGGCTAACATAGTGAAACCCCATCTTGACTAAAAATACTAAAAATTAGCCAGACGTGGTGGTGGCATGTGCCTGTAATCCCAGCTATTCAGGAGGCTAAGGCAGGAGAATAACTTGAACATGGGAGGCGAAGGTTGCAGTGAGCTAAGGTTATACCACTGTACTCTAGCCTGGCCAATAGAGCAAGACTCCATCTCAAAAAAAACAAAACAAAACAAAAAAAAACAAATACAACAAATATCAGCTTACCCAGATAAGTAATGTTTTCAGCTAATTCACATCCATCAGCATCCTGGAAATATTTTACTGTTTCCTGGTTATTAGCACCAAGCACATATGTCTGAATAGGAGCTAGTGAAGGAAACAGACATGACACCATATAGTTACCAGATCTGCTTCAGAACTTGAGAAATGCTTCTCTATAGAAAAAAATACTTATAGCAAAAGTAAATAGTCTACACATTCACATTCCCCACATAGCAATCCTAAATGCAGAAGTGCTGTCCACTAAGGATATACTACACAAAACCTTGTAGCTTGACTTTTTTTTTTCTTTTTGAGGACAGAGCCTCGCTCTGTTACCCAAGCTGGAGTGCAGTGACACAATCTTGGCTCACTGCAAACCCTGCCTCCCAAGTTCAGGCAATTTTGCTCCCTCAGTCTCCCGAGGAGCTGGGATTACAGGCATGCACCACCATGCCCAGCTAATTTTTGTATTTTTTGTAGAGACAGGGTTGTATCACGTTGGCCAGGCTGGTCTCGAACTCCTGACTTCAGGTGATCCGCCTGCCTTGGCCTCCCAAAGTGCTGGGATTACAGGCATGAGCCACAGCGCCCAGCCAGGAAATTCTTAAATAATGAAAAACAACTCAGAAAGAACTGTGGCCCTTGAAATTTTATTAGATATCATATGTTAAATAAAAATAATTTCTATACCTTTCTTGATGCCAGTCTTATACTCCTCCCATTCAGCATCTGGGGTGGAGCCAAAGAAATTTCCTACACACAACAGCAGCTAAAATGAGTTTTTTAAACAGACATATAAGATTTAAAAATACCAAACAGTACATAATTGATAGTAACATTCAAATAGTTATTTAATAGTTTCAAATCAGTTTTTTATTCTCAATCCATTTGCAGATTTCAATATACAATTCTTTAGCAGCAATTGTAATAGTTACTGATTCTATGAATTATTAAGTTTTCGCTCTCTGGCTGTCAAATTCAAGTTAGAGATGGGTAAGAGAGAGTCAAGGAACTAAACTTTTAGAACAAGTTGGAATTCAAGTGCTCCTCAAATATTCCCAGTCCCACTCTGCCACTCAGCTCTCTCCACATATCCTTCCCTGGAATATACAGTCACAGAGAAATAGATCTTTAAAGAATCCCCATGTGAAACAAAAAAATTTAAAATATTAGAAACTCTTAGAAATACAGGGCATAAAAAACACATTTCCTGCCTGTTGTCTTTACTCAACCTTTAACCCAATGAACAAATTATCCTCATACTTGGAATACTCTCTTCTGGACTCTTAGGAGTTTACAGTCTAGCTGGCAACTATATACAACATTCATATAGGGCTCTCAAGCTTGTGAAGCACGGCATATATGTTATCTGACTTAACCCACACCGCATTCATAAAATAGGTCTGTGCCTCACAAACCTAGGGGTCAGAATCACTTAGGGAAGTGTTGCTAGTCTGTTTTCAGTTTTTTGTACAGTGATAAAGTAACAAGATTCAACTTCAAAAAACATAAAGGTCAATAGTAAATAGTAAATAGGTCTCCCTCCCCCAACCACTCAGAAGCTCCTGAGTTCCTATGCTCATGAAGGGAACTCAATTTAACAAAAATGCTGAGTATGTATTCAATCAAGACCTAAAGGAGCTCAAACTTTATTTTTATTTAGACTACAAAGGTAAAATTAAATTCAGTAAAAACAAACATCTTACATCAAAGTTTCCACTTTTCTTCTGAATTGCTCGAACTCTATTGAATAAAATATCAAACTTTCCTTCAACATCTCCACAAGCCAAGCTGCAAACAAAGGGATAATAGATTTGAGATTATAGCAATTCAGGAACAAATGGGCCTGGCAGGTTTCCTATATACTAGTCTTTTGGATGGATTAGATAAATAGATGATCAAGTCTCTCTGCAGTTACCTTACAAGGTTCAGTTCACTGGGCAGATCCACTGAGAGTCTCACCAATGCCTCCCGCTTGCCGTATCTAAACTTTAGATTATCATTTACTCCACAACTGAGCCAGCTTCTGCTCATTTCTAAGTTTTGTGGACATGTCTATGGCTGACATGGCCAACTAGTATCAAAAATCCCTGATCCAGTCACTAAGTCCCATCAATCCCTTTTTTCAAACATCTTTCGCATTCTTTCTATCCTTTTTATTTTGACTCCTACTATCTTATTACAGAGATTCAGTCATTCATTTGGTAAACAGGTACTGGATACTTAAAATTTGTGAAGTACAATATGCCAAGTAAACTATGCCAAGAACATGTTAGCAGTACAAGGTGGAGGAAGACTCGGTTTAAGCCTCAAAGAGTTTATAATCAAGGAAAGGAAGACACTCTAATCATTATAAATCTATAAGAAAAGGGCTACCACAGGAGGTATGTGTCAAATTATGGGGTAGGAGGTAGAAAACGGCAAGAGCTGATGTTGGTAAGGTAAACTGGCCCTAGATTGTGAAGTGACTTTTACTATCATCTCATTTCTGAGTTTTTCTAATTCTAATTTACATGGTTTTCCCATGGCTCGTATAATTTTCTTAATGTCTTTTAACTCATCTTGAAACGTTAAAATTTTATTGTTTTGTAAGTGTGTCTTTCTGGTATGCTTTTATTGTCCACCTCACCTTTCGGTTTTTTTGTTTTTGAGACAAAGTCTCACTCTATTACCCAGGCTGGAGTGCAATGGTGCAATCTCAGCTCACTGCAACTTCTACCTCCCAAGTTTAAGCGATTCTCCTGCCTCAGCCTCCCAAGTAGCTGGGATTACAGGCATGCACCACCACGCCCAGCTGATTTTTTGTATTTTTAGTAGAGACGGAGTTTCACCATGTTGGCCAAGCTGGTCTCAAACTCCTGACCTCAGGTGATACACCCACCTCGACCTTCCAAAGTGCTGGGATTATAAGCATGAGCCACCACACCCANAAAAAAAAAAAAAAAAAAAAAAAAAAAAAAAAAAAGTTTAAAAGATAAAATGAAAAAAATTAATAGAAAACTTGTAGAATAAGGAGATAAAGAAAATATTTTTGTACTGCTGTACAATGTGTTTTGTGTCTTAAGCTAAGTTTTATCACGAGAGTCAAAAGGTTAAAAAAAACTTAAAGTTTATAAAGTAAAAGCTACAGTAAACTAAGGTTTATTGTTGAATACTAATAATGTTTCTATAAATTTAATATAGGTGAAGTATACAGTACTCATAAAGTCTACAACAGTGTAAAACAATATATTCACTCACCTCTTACCGACTCACTCAGAGAAATTTTCAGTTCTGCAAACTCCATTCATAAGTGTCCTACACATGTTTTCTACATACAGTATTTTATATATACAGTATTTCCATTTTTTCCTATATACAGTATTTTCACTGTACCCTTTCTATATTAAATACAAAAATATTGTTATGTTACAATTGTCTACAGTATTCAGCAAGTAACATGGTG